CCTCCCTCTTCCCTCTCCCCCTCTCTCTCTCTATATCTCTCTATCTATCTCTCTCATACCACAATGCGCCATAAATGGCAGATTATAGCAGGATTACTTCTTTTAACGTAACACGCATAGCGAAGATTAAATGATTCTTCGCGCGAAAAACGCGCGCGCGCGTCTGTGACGGTTTCAGTGTAAAGTCGGTTTTAAAGTAATGCAATATGTATGTACTACGGCTTAACGGTCATTCAAATTGATATCATTGCCTTTTGTTTGGGAAAGAGAGACACTGACAGCGCTCCACTCTACCCTAATGATGGGTTTTGGTCAAATCAATATATATATAATATGACCATCAGCTGGTTAGGTTAGAGTGTAAAAAATATGCAATAAATTGTTGGACATTGGTATGGTGACCAGCCTCACAGAGATAGCTCTATGAGTCTGGTCAACAAACCAGCAGGACAATAAGAAAATGTCAAACATGCCCCGTGACGGTTAATAGGTCTCAGCGAACCTTAACATTAGATGAAATATTAACTCCTTAGCATCACGAGGCTATATATTATATTGTTAACAAAGAAGCTTAAAATTGTGTGTAACAGAATAACTTGATGAAGGAATAAGGATTACACCACTTGTTTTGGACGCCGGGGCTAATAAAAATATAATTATAAGTATTGCCGGTTGCTGATACTGATAAAATTTGTACATCAAGATCATGCAAATCATGTTCCCGCGCGCGCTGATTGCCGAACATTGGCATTAAATTTAAAGTTTGAGATATTTTTTCTAACGTGCAAAGACTGTCCGGGTCCCAAGGAAATCTTACTGGCTGGCCGTGTTACTAGAGGTGATAATTTTTCAATATCATATTATCTTTTGTCATGTCGTGAATCAAAAAAATCCCTGTAGTTCAAGTTCAAAGTTGATCTGCACTCATGCAGTATTTTCATGGCGAGCGGTAGTATAATTATTGGAATGCGGAAGGCGCTCACTCACGCTCAGCTAGCCTGTCATTCCGTTACTGGGCTGCGCTCAGCCTGCATCATTCCGCCGAATATAATTTTTATTCATATCATGTTTATGAACATTATATTATAGCCTGGGGCCCCTAGGTAAGTCGGTAACTTTATTTGTACGATCATGTAATCCAATGTGAGTATGGCCATGAGCCAAAAAACATGGGTCTTGAGCAAGGCTCGACCGGGATCCCGGTCCCGCTGAAAATCGGACTGGGAACTCCGGTACGGTCCCGGCCAAAATGCTGAATTTTGAACGGGACCAAACCAAGATGTTTTCTAAATGTTAGCATATCTTTTTTTGCAGTTATCGGACCTCGATTGTGGAACTTAATCCAACCAAACCTCCATATACTATCGAAAATCCCCTGCACTTTAAAGAAATGCTTACGATGTTTGTGAAAACATTCCCAGATGAGCCTCCAGTGGCAGGATACAGCTGCACCAGAATGGAAACTCGTTACTGGATTAGAGTGGAATTAAGGCAGTGACCTCGCTGTCCGGGTGGTCAGCAACTCTGATAACCCGATATGCAATATGGGATTCTGTGAACTTAAAGCACACCAAAGTAACCAAACTCCAAAGTGAGTATTACAAGTTTATTACTTATAGTTATAGTTCATTAATTTAGGACGGTGTTTGGTTCCACCCTCGTGTCCATGTTAAACTGAGTCATGTGACTCGCCCTTGTGTCCACCCTTTTAGGAATAGGACGCCCTTGTGGCTTGTGTCCAACGCGTCGTGTCCGGTTCTCGGCTGAAATTAGCCATAGCACATAGAATCGTCCTGGAAAACTGTGCCTTTCATACATTGATCTATAAGTCTGGCTCGAGAAATCTAAGATTCGTCTTGCCAAGTAACTGCTTCAGTTTGTCTATGAGGCCCAGGTGAAATCTGTGTTGTTGTACAAGTACAACTGTTTTATTGAACAATTACAAAGCGGTTTTCAGGAATTCTGATTTTGACTGATATCATGAGTTCACAAACAACGATGAATGAAATCGCCGAATGTTTACTGAATACAATTACAAGGTAAAAACTTCAAAAAATTTAAGGTTATCTTTACAAGCTTTAAATCATTATAAACCCCTTAATATTTGTATGATTCTATCAAATCTGACGAATCGAATTAAAATATATTTATAAGGACGTGTCGTTTATCAACAAATTGAAAAACTCAAAAATCTTAATTAAAAACTGCATAAATTTGCAAGTTCGATTCTGCCTCAGTTTTGATAATCATGGAATCCATCAAAATTATTTGATCTCCATCACTTACTCTTCAGTATTCTTCATACAATATACATCGACTATCGATAGATGCTCTTTACTTATTTTTATCGTACCTCATTTTCACTAGCGTAAACTAATCTGACCGAAAGCTGACAAGGAGCTCTTAAAAATACTGAATTCTACCCTACTTCACCACCAGCCGCATAAAGTTCATTTATATCAGCAGAATCCAGGATTTGATTCAATGTCTGCTCATCATTGTGATACTCTGTGATGGTTTTCTGATAGAGCTCTAACTGTTTTTGAAAACCCCAATTAGGTTTGACACAAGACCTGCGATGCTTCACGAAGGAAGAGGCGTCTGAGAGCGACATGTCGTATTCTCTCATTAAGTAGGACATAGTGGTGGACCCTGATCTGCTAATGCCCATCTGACAGTGTACTAACACCTGACGGGCAAGTGGAGTCAACATCATAGTTGGGATTTTATATAGTTATGTATTACATAATATGTTAGTGATGAATCATTATGCAACTTGGCTAATTTTGCCTTAAATAATCACGTCTGGGGGGACTTACCTTGCCTTTGGAGTCCCGGCAATTCTTAATGTACTTATGAGTATTTTCCCAGTGTTCCAAAAGATTAGACTTCGGCACGTCCAACACTTCGATCCTTGACGGGGAGAAGGATTTAGAGAGGAATATAATACTGTAATTATTTGTTATTGTTATCATGATAGTATCTTACTCACACCCACTTCTAAGAATGCCCACTGTAAATATCTTAGTACTTAATAGTGGCTTTAATACCTAAGATAGTCGAATGAAGACTCGAAAGGAGAATCTATCTCTGAGGTAACGTTGAGAATGTGAGTTATGCCGTTCTCAACCAGTTCCTCGTAGTTACACGCGTTCCATTCCGATCCTGGAGGAGTGCACATTGTTTAACGACATGAGGAATGGATAATTATTTGGGAGGAACATAAATTTTACAGAAAATGTAAAATCCATAAGCATTTTGTAATTGATCAAATGGTCACGAGAATGAGGCCCTTTTTAGAAGGTACTAAGGTAGAGTTTGAGACTTTGTTCTTCTGTTCTGTTTGACGATATAATACCCGATTGATCTAAGCTAACAGTAACTGATCACGTGCCATCAGTATATCAGCTCACTTTACTTACCAAGGTAAAGGTAGTCTTTAATTAGAGACGGTTCGTCCATCTGACCGAGTGTCATCAGGATTTTCTCTTCGATAAAATTCTTGTAATGATTCAGGCTCATTCCCATATCTTTTTCCACTTGTGTTCTTTAAAGTACGGAGTGATGATTAATTTACCAGATAAACGTTTCAAAATAAAATAAACTTGCAAATAACGCGCCGAATAAAATCTGCAAAGTTACCAAACATTGAGAAGTAGTGACCTGATCGATTTACAGCTGGCTTCATCGAGGTCTATATTGTACATAACACTCCTTATCGTCAGGACAATCAACCGAGACAACTCGTCCAGAGAAGCAATCGGCAGCTCCTGTTAGATGAAATTAAATATATCGTGAAAATGCATTTCATCTCGTTAAAATGTAATTTAGTAACCCGTGTTATCTGAAAGTATGAGATGACTGACTGCAGATATAATATTATCGGGCTAACCCTTGCTGAAGGTTCAACATCGAGGAGGTTTTTAGTGAAACCGATCGGGGATTTCTGATTATCAAACGCAGCCCTCTTGTCAAATATCTCCATGATGCTCTTTCTTGGTGTTTTCCTAAAACTGGATAAGTTCCAGTTACTTGCACTGCCCATCTGAGTGGATAGTATTCTTGTTAACATGTTAAAAACATAACTAGGAAGTATGCTAAAACTTTTACCTTGTACAAACACTTTTCAGGAAAAAAATATTAGATTTTAGTAATTAAAGCAGTTAAAGTAAGTAATTAAAGTAATCGAAGTGACTATAACTAATTAAAGATCGCAATTATCAGTGACAAAATTAAAAGTCTTATTGCGTGACTTACGTCATTCTGGTTGGTATAAAAGGAGCACCATTTGTGACTCTTGCCGTAGAGGAAGAAGTTGTTATCAAGAGCGTTTTGTAGGGAGCCGGAAAGGAAGTTAATGGCTGCCCACTGAGACTGAATGTTAGCAGGTTTCAGAACCAGGCTTGTTCGCATATCACACACTACAAAACTGAGAGAGAAAGGGTTTTAATAATTTATGATATATCCTTGAAATGCCGCTAATAATGTTTTCACTTTTGAAATTTGCACCCGTTGTGTCACTGGCTCAGACCTTACCCAATAGCCACAAAAATAAAGAAACGAAATTTAAAATGTAGCAAAAAATTTCGTCATGATAAATTCATGAAAACTTTAAAAACCAACCTGCCGTCTCCATCGTCCAGTTTGACAGTCACGTGACTCTTGACAGGTACTCCCGCACAGAAGCGCAGGTTAGCTGGTCGGTTCTCGATCAGCTCCGCTTCAGCTCCCAACATCATGTCCTCCTTCTGTCCCTCCTCGTTTCTGAAGGACATTTATTAGAGGAATCCTTTTACTTTTAATTATTATCACATAAAGTTGTAATGGTCGGTTCGTGTGGACTGGGGGAATTAGATGAGTAATGATCTACACTCGACTGTCACGTGACTTTTTCAACCCGTTCTCTAGCTGACCCTGAACGACTATTCGAAACCCTAACCCTCTAATCTGATCCCAACCCTAACCCAATCCTTAACAAAAGCATATGCTGAAACCCTAACCCTAACGAGAAATTAGACGGTCATATCACGTGATCGAGACATTTTTTCGCCAATATCTCGCCAGGGAAGCATTTTAACCTTATGTCATGGGGGTGATTCGGAATCAGCGTCCGAAAATACATCGATTCAAGTTGGTTTCAAAATCAACTATCAGGGGCCCGTTTTAGAAAAATCTCGAAGATCGAGTGTAGAGTGATTTAGCTCGCTCGGTTCGCTGTTGGTGTGAACTTGAAAATGAGATCATTCATTTTCCATATTATGCGTCTTAATAATAATACCCTGTTTCCATAGATACCTTGCATGATTCACAAAATATTGAGATTCAAATTCTTAGCTCAGCATTTTTATGTACACGTCAAATTGTTTAGCAACCCGCAGTACTTGTTTAATACGACAATTTTCTAGCTCCACATGGAATTATTTGCACGATTGCTACTTAATTCTGATCTTTGGCGAAAAAAACTTGATTTGTATTATGTTATTTCCATTCCACATCAGGCCTTTGAGTTAATTTCGTCATAATTTCTTTGTCTTTTCATGGTAACTTTTGCTACTTTCACTTAGAATTTCAGTGTTTATATAGATGCCCGTCATCCCTCGACAGATTAACAAATTAACTGATATAATTGTATTGCCTAGGTTACAGGTACATATAATGCAACTAAAACTGCCAAATGAGGATGAAGATGATGAACAACCCGAAATTCCTGATGATATCAAAGTATTTGTGCAACCATCCGACAATCCTCCATTCTTCTTACAGAGACACGAGCTTACCAGATGGAGTGAAAAATTTGAGGAGAGTATTGAAAACGGGGAAATTTGGCTGATTGACGGATTTAATGGAAATTGGAATGAGGTCCAAGATTGTATATCCTTGCTGAAGGGATTTGAAGTCGATGTTACTTTTGACAATATAAAGGTAAGCTTTGTTAGTAGTCGTTATATTTTGTTATTTTGTTAGTCATTATCTTATTATTGGACGTAATTAATTTTGGTTCGCTAACTATTCTAAACAGAATTTTCAGAGCACGTGGTGAAACTGAATCGCATGCTCTTTAGCAGAATATATCATGACCTCTTTATATTGGACTTGTTTCAGGTAATAACGACATTTGCACTGACATTTGATATTGTCCCACTTATTGAAGAGATCAATTGTTGGTTAAAGTTCAATCTTAAGACAGAGACCTTTGGAAGGACCTTAAAAACAATTCACATGCTCGGAAAATTAGGATTTTCAGAGGAAAGTCTGACTAACAGAATAAAAGGAACTCAAATAGTACTGGACTTGGTAAACAACTCAAGCAAGGAAAGTTTTAAACACTTGCTTATGGCGACCGTAACAGAAGAAGAAGAACAATTGCTTGTTGCTGATTTCGACGATTTCGATGAAATAATCTTAAATGCGCTGTGTAAATCAGAAAATAACCATCTTGATGTTTTGCTGGATGTTTGGGTTAACACCTTTAACAAGATTGACTCTAATGAGAAATGTAAGATTGTTCTTGGTTTATTTGAAACAATCCAGAAATCAAATGAGGCAGACATGTTATGTGTGTTTTGGTCGGAAGTCAATGAAGTGATAGATAAGATCATGACAGTCTCATCTGATGCAGATAATAGAGAAATATCGAAATCAGCATACGCTTGTCTAAAGTCTATCATGGATCTGTCGAAGACCGAATGTGCGTCACCAAAGCAAATAAGATTGGAACTGGTACGTCGGACTCGCTGTTGGAGAAAATACTCGGTTGACGACATTAAGTTGCTTAATAAAAACCAGAACTTGAAGTGTTGGCACTTCGCAGAAATCGTGCTCGATTGGATTGATGTGCAAGGACCTGACTTCTCCACCGATTTTGAAACTATAGGAGAATTACGTAGGATGGCAAATAATGGTGTTATAAAATATTTGAAAGATAACCGTTGTAGCCCAGGATTATGTAGCTACAGCATTCAGATTATTGAAGCGTTTGATAGATTAGATCATTCATGTAGGATATGTTGTAGAGGAGTCAAGCATAATTTTTTAGAGAAGTTTGGCGCATTCGTCCTTATTTCCGGAGTACTTGGAATAATTGGATTTTTATTGTTCATACTAATTGATTTTTATGAATACGAAAAAGTAGTAATTGGAATTTTGGGTGCGCTTATAGCATTTATATTTATTTTAGTCGGCGTTGTTTATGTTCTTCATTATCCAGCATTATTGTTCTCAAATCCTTTTAGTTTAACGAATGTTCGCATAAGTCTTGATACACTGAACATCTTAAAATTAACAAATTCCTCTAATATTGTTACGATTAACCCATATTTTAGGTCTATTCTCTGGTTTCTACCTTTCCTTCGTGCTGAGTTACAACTATTAAATTTAAACGGTATGGTAGAATTTGATTTGAGAAACCCAAATAGGGGAACGAATTATCACATTTCTCATTGGTATATAACATCCAATGATGGTAGATTATTTTCGACTTTTACAGCTACACACAGTGAACTGGTAAAGTTTTTTGATAAGCACTCTGAAATTCCAGCACGCAGCAATATCTTAAGTTGTTTCTATTGCTCTTGGTTTTGTTGCTGTTTTAGGAATATCCAAGTTCGTACTATTACCTAACTAAGTTACAGTTAGCTACTTCAGGGCTGAAATTTTTATGTAATAACATTCCTTTTAAATACTCGATGTACATTGATATAAGTATTGCGTGTTTAGCTAAAAGTAAAATTAGCGAAATATGGATTTATGGAGCTGAATTTGTAGTAATTTTAAAGTTTGAAGTATAACTATAACTCTGAATAGGGTGGTAATATTTACTGTTATTATTATGATATCTTTTAATGCATTTCAGGTTAAAATAACTTCAATTGATACATTTACCCACAAGCTCACAAGCTAATACAGTTAACCCAAGTTAATAAGGTTGTTAAGTTTGTAAACTTTTTACATGATGTAGAAATTTAATAAATTCAATATTTACACAACATTAATGTTCTGCGGAACAGTGATTCAGTAAAACATGTATTTCAGCCGTTCCCTGTTGTTATTGTTTTCAATGGATGATCAATTCTTTAAATGTAGGGTTAAAAAAGTTATTACTGTCAAACTTTTGGGTCTCCTATTCGATTGACTAATTTTATATACGTATGATAATTTTAAAAAAAAATTGTTCTCTTTCTTGGACTGTGTGTAAATGAGTTAGTGGTGGAATATAAATGTGCTCATTCGGACGACGATTCCTCGGATTGTTCATCTGATTTTTATTATATGAATCATTTTACTTTTTATTATTCTAATCACACAAAGTTGTAATGTTTGGTTCGTGTTGATTTGAAAATGAGGTCATTCATTTTCCATATTATGCTCTCTAAATATCCTGTCTCAAATTCCATAGATACATCGCATAAATTTGTTTACATAATCTAATAGTCATAACTATGATTCACATATTACATACCATGAAACTGAAGATTAAAATTCTTAAGTGTAAAGTGATATGCATTATATTGTAGGGTGCCAGGGAAGAGGTTTGTGTTGAGTGTTCGAATGAGAGGGTAGCATTAACAGTCTAGTAGCATAATACACGGTGGCGCTTATTTTTATAAGCATTTTTATGTGCACGTCATTGTTTAGCAACCCGCAGTACTTGTTTAATACGACAATTTTATAGCTCCACATGGAATTATTTGCACGATTGCTACTTAATTCTGACCTGTGGCGATAAAAACTTGATTTGTATTATCTTATTTCCATTCCATATCAGGCCTTTGAGTTAACTTCGTTATAATTTTTCTGTCTTTTCATGGTAACTTTTGCTGGCTACTTTCGCTAAGAATTTCAGTGTCTATATTCTATATAGATGTTTGAAAATGCCCGCCATAACTGTTTTTGCTGTGTCCGTCATCCCTCGACAGATGAACAAATTTACTGATTTAATTTTATCACCTAGGTTACAGGTTCATATAATGCAACTAAAACTGCCAAATGAGGATGAAGATGATGAACAACCCGAAATTCCTGATGAAATCAAAGTATTTGTGCAACCAGCTGACAATCCTCCATTCTTCTTACAGAGACACGAGCTTACCAGATGGAGTGAAACATTTGAGGAGAGTATTGGAAACGGGGAAATTTGGCTGATTGACGGATTTAATGGAAATTGGAATGAGGTTCAAGATTGTATTTCCTTGCTGAAGGGATTTGAAGTCGATGTTACTTTCGACAATATAAAGGTACCTTTGTTTATAGTAGTTATATTTTGTTATTGTAAGTCATTATCTCATTATTGGACGTACTTAATTTGGTTCGCTAACTATTCTAAACAGAGTTTTCAGAGCACGTTGTGAAACTGAACTGCATGCTCTTTAGCAAAATATATCATTTTATGGTTCTGGGCCTCTTCATATTGGACTTGTTTCAGGTAATAACGACATTTGCACTGACATTTGATATTGTCCCGCTTATTGAAGAGATCAATTGTTGGTTAAAGTTCAATCTTAAGACAGAGACCTTTGGGAGGACCTTAAAAACAATTCACATGCTCGGAAAATTAGGATTTTCAGAAGAAAGTCTGACTAACAAAATAAAAGGAACTCAAATAGTACTGGACTTGGTAAACAACTCAAGCAAGGAAAGTTTCAAACACTTGCTTGTGACGACCGTAACAGAAGAAGAACAATTTGTCGGCCAATTCGATGAAACAATCTTAAATGCGCTGTGTAAATCAGAAAATAACCATCTTG